AGCCCATTTTCATGTCTCTTCAGTTCTGACTGTAGTTTTAAGCACCAGTTGGGCTGGTGGCTGATTTAACTAGGTTTCAATGAAGACTGCAGAGTTAAGTCTAGATTGCAGGGGCAATCTGGTTACAGTCAGCCCACAGGTGCCAAAAGCATTCCCTAGTTGCCAGTGAAGAGAAGAGAAAGATCAGCCTGCTGGAGAACTGCAGGTGTTTGTTGTCACTGTGAATTTTCAGGAAAGCTCTGAGGATTTGAAATGTCAACACACATCCTTCCTCCATATTCTTCTTTTTTCTGTTGAGCAAACTCTTAGATTTCTTAAATAGTAAGGTTTTGTACCAAGAGGGAAGGTCAGTGATGCAATTTGAGCACTGCAGGCATTTGCCATTTAAGGGGAAAGAGCAGAAATTAGAACATGGCAGAAACAGAGACATAAAAAAGTCAGATTATCACAAGGACAGGACAGACGCACTGAAATGACAAAACCAGCTGTAGAGGGCAACTGTCACCCTTGCAAATATGAGTAAAGAAAAAGCAGGAAAGATTGGCAGGGTACGGAGGAATTAGGGGAACTTTGAGGCTAATACAGAAAGCAAAAGACAAGAAAGCTGAGAGCTTCTTGTCCCTACTCTTTAGTTCAGAAAAAAATAAAAAGAGAAAAATAATGGTATGACATTTATATGTGTGTGTTTGTTTACATTTAAACAAATTCACATAGACAATACCCTGCACAATCAAATCCTGGTCTGGGCTGCCACAATTTTATCCTGGCTTTTGAATTTTTCCACACACAGGTCCTAAGAGAAAACAAACTTTCTTCTGACAGTTTTTATGACCTGCTGTTAGCTTAACTGTAGGAATTATTAGTTCAGATCAATTGATCTTATATTAAATATGTTATTTAGCAATAACAGCTTTTCTTTCTTCCAAATTTCTTTCTCCTCCTGTACTCCCAGCTCTTTGTGTATATGTACACAGGTAAATATCCCATATTGTCTATCTTTTATCTGGCTAAACAGGCAAATTTCTACTCAGGCTTGTCTCAAAAGACTGACCTTATTCACCTTGAGGGCTTCCTGCTATTCCCATTTGAGGTTATCTCTTCTGAACTCAAACTTCTGAACACTTTCAAATTAGGGGCTTTGTTAGATCCCTGCGACACAAGTGAGTTTCCCTGACATTACTCCATGTGATCAGTTCAAAGTGAGAGTAATAGAAAACTTTTTATTAAACTGTGGCTGTAAAAACTGCCTCTTGGGTCTCAGTCTAGGGCTTCAGCCCAGGTAGTTATGCCAAATGCACAGTTATGATCTCACCGTGCCCAAGAAGTACCCACAGATATTCATGACAAGCCACGGGCATAAAAAAAAAAAAAAAAAGTGAGAATTTAGTCAGACAAGCAGCAACTGCTTTAGCTGTGAAGAACCGTCTCATAATGTCTATAATCCATACTTTCAGAGTGAGATCAGCACACATTTGTAGGCAGTTTAGTGGCAGCTTATCTTGTAGCATAGGACAAGTCGTTCCTCTTTTGGCTTACATTTTGAGATATTTTATTGTGAGTCATCAGCTGGGACGTAATATAAGACTGAACAACTATATTTTATAATCATTTGCACATTATTCCCATCTCCTGAAGGTTTAAAATTATGTCTGTTCCCCAAAGGGGGGGGCGGGGGGGAAGAGAGCCAATGAATGGAGTATGTGAATCAGGGGTCAGAAGTATACATTACAACTAGTAGATCTCTAATTGTGTGTGAAGATTCTCCTTGGAAGAAGTGACTCAGAGCAGGCTTCTGGTTTAGTTCACATGAAAACTAGTGAGTGAGGCTTCTTAACAAAATTTCCTTTGTTCCTCACATCTAGAAAAGAGTCAGAAAAATGATGGGTGCAGAAGTCGCTTCTGAAAATGATTGTTAGGATCAAATCTAGTTTTACAGAACAGTAAATGAATTAAATCCAATTGAGTTATGTGACTAAAGACCTGTAACAAATTAACTGACTAAGATCTCAGACAAGCAGAAATATGAGCAGTTCCAAGAAATTTTGAAGAAAGAGAAGGATGGGCAAAAGGATGATTCAGGCAATTAGTTAATTGAAACCTGTGTTTGTGGCTGCTGTAGAGTGTACATATTACAGACTCTGTATTTTACATTGTTCACATTTAAGTTGGCTTGTGACGGTGGTCACAGGGGGTCTTAGGATGAGGGAAGACACGTGGATCTGACTCCATGTTACAGAAGGCTTGATTTATTATTTTATGATATATATCATATTAAAACTACACGAAAAGAATAGAAGGAAAAGTTTCATCTCAGAAGGCTAGCTAAGCTAAGAATAGAAAAAAAAAAAAAGAATGATGACAAAGGCAGCTGCCTCAGACTCTCTGTCTGTGATTGGCCATTAATTCCAAGCATCCACATGAGACCAATCACGAACCCACCTGTTGCATTCCACAGCAGCAGATAACCATTGTTTACATTCTGTCCCTGAGGCCTCTCAGCTTCTCAGGAGGAAAAAATCTTAAGGAAAGATTTTTTAATGAAAAGACGTCTGCGACATTGGCTGATCATTTTTGCTAAGTGTTTTCCTTCTTTCATATTAATTTGGCTGTGATTTCCTGATTAAGTGCAAAAAAGCTCCCCCCTTATTGAAGGTGTTTTGGTAAAAGGATTCAAGCAAGTGCTTGAGAAAGCTGGGCTGAGAGAAGAATGGTAGAAGGAGTAAGGGACATGTAGGGTGACTTTAATTGTTATCAGGCATTTCTGACATTTTTAAGACCAGAGATGTATGTAAGATAATTAATAAAATGTTTAATTATTCTTCTTGATTAAAATAGTTTGATTCTAATTTTAATCAGAAACAGAAGATAATTTTGTATTCTTGCTTCACTGAGCTTTCATGACTTCAAGCTCAGAGACAAATAGAAAATACTCAATGTATTCAAGTGAAAAATGTCTACTTCCAATGCATGAATTTTCCTGAGACTTCAATAGTTTTAAATTTTAATATGGGAAGGATTTTTATCACTTTGAGGACCACTTCTATGGCACTTTTAATGTTACATCATATAAAGACTGTCTTCATAAGGAAATTGGCCAGCAGAACTCTAGTGGGAAAAGTATATACACAGCTATGGTGATGTATGTCCCTTTGCAGGCACTTTCAGCATGAGTACCAGTGCTTTTCTCAGTATAGTTCAGCACTTTACCAAGTATTAATGAAATTCTGCTGGCCTTGCTGTTGCAATACAGTAATACCTCTGGAGTTGTGCTGCCAATGTGTCCTTAAAAATAAGACCAAAATACTTCTACGTATTTGGTGATGCAGTGTCACTGGGGAGCCCTGATTTTGGCATGACTTGTACTAATCTACAATACAGAAATCAGTATAATGAAACTAATGAAGCCACTCTACATACAGGATCCCAACGACTCTCCTGTTACTTCCTTTATATTTGTAAGCCATTTTTGTTATGTATGTTTAAATATAGACGCTTAGAAAACCAAACTGTGCTGAAAGTAATTAGCATCTTCATGGACTAAAATAACTTAGCAGCAGAATAATCCATACTTCAGTCAGATGGTTTGCTTAAAAACCTCTCAATAAGAAATGATGCAAGATGTGATACAAAAGTATGTATTCATAGCAATAACAAAAATTACCACGATTTTCAAACAATAAGCGTGAAGTTACAGTGGATGCTGGTGGAGGCAAATAATAAATATATGGATTAAGTCAGAGGAAAACAGTTGAAATACAGTTTGAGAATGTCTGAAAGAGGAAGTAGAAATGCATAAAATGGACAGAAGGAAAAGAATAATTGATTGAGTTACTGAAGCAAAAGGAGAAGTGATAGTTCTGGACTTAGGAAGAATGGAAGTTGTCTCCTGCTGGGAGCCACTGAAAGAGAGCAGAAGTGGGAACTTTACTACAAATAGAAATGGAATTCATATGACAGTTCTTTGGGCAACAAGAAACAGAAATTAATTTCTGCTTTGAAAAAAAAAAAAAAAACATGGAGAAGTTTGAATAAACCAGGGGTAAAAAAGCAGGGCAAAAGGCTATTGATAAGGTCAGCAAAGGATGTAAAGTGTCACAGAAGAAGCAACTGAAGAAGGGAATCATGTAAGTAATGCTCATTCTTGGAAAAGGCTAATTAACTCCAGAAATTGGATCAAACTACACTTGCTTCTTCAATAAAGTTGACACAACTGTGGCATTACTTCCTAGAACTGAAGAAACAATAGAAAAAACAAGTTGTCCCTCACTGACAGATTCTGATTGTCCTGTAGAAATTAACAACCATGTAAATTAGCTAAAATTTGGGCAGTCTCAGTAACATCCTTTGAATCTGCTAATTATTTGTGCTGTTCATGGCAAGTGTACTCCATTGGGTGCAATTATGATTGTTTATTGAATAATTGCTGTCCTTGTCAAATGTTTTCTTGAATATTTGCCTGCACTGTATAACATTTTTACTGAGTAACTGTCTGCTGTGGATAATAGCTTCACTCAGTAATTGCCTACTCTGAATAATGTTTTCACTGAATCATTTCTCATTCAATGTAATGTTTTACTGCATGATTTTCTTTTCTGAGTCATGTTAATGTAAGTTAGTTGCTGAATTACATATTAAGTTACAGTTGGATCAAATCCAAGTTTGTCTAAGTGCAGTGCATTTTGATAATTTCAAAGCCTGTGGTGGTGATGGTGGTATTTCCCTTTTACATAAGGTAGAAAGGGGTAGCAGTTGGAATTTCATATTAGAGAGGCTGGAGACAAGAGAAGGAGGTTGGCCTCCAAAGAAAGAGGGGGAAGAAAAGAGCAAAAGTGGGAAAAAAGAGTAAGATCTTACGGGAGGTAATTGAACTTTGAGAAAGGAATTCTAGGAGATAGGAGAAACAGACAAAAGGAAAAAATGAAGACAGACTGTAAATGAGTAGGCTAAGAACTAACCCGAGGGAACAGTAAAAGGGAGAATTAAATGAAAGTAATACATACCAATGATGCAGACATAATGGTCAACCTGATGTTCTCTCACTTGGCCTCTGCACTAGAGTAACCTTATAAAATTAGCAGTTAATACTTTGCAGTGGAGAGAAGAACAAAGGTGTTAAACACATCCTAAGGTACAAATGCCAGTGTTCTCATTGCAAGGTTCATTCCTCCCTTTTTCTTTTCTCAGCCTTGGACTCTACTTCTGCAACATAAAGAAACTGGACTGCAAAACAATTGGACTCCTGTGGAAATAATTAACCTGCTGAGGAAATTTTCTCTCAGCTTGGGAACACTGGGCTCTGACTTGCTTCTGCTCGTGTTGGTGGTCAGACTGGAGCCAAACAAGAAGAGAAGTTAACATCTGAATATCCCTCCACCTAGGCCAATGTGTGCTTACAGGAAACTTCTTAAATTCTACTAACTTGTTACACTTAATGTGCTTGCCCATTTATTCCCTTCTTTGCCTGATAATTTTTCAATAGATTAAAGTGGACTGAATCAGCTTCTATAAATATGTTATTCTTTCCTGCTCTTTTCAAAGAGTGGAAGACTATTCCCTTCTTATATATAAACATGCCTTATTATGGTCCTTATTAGTTGGGATCTATTCCTACTATAGGCCAATTGACATTACACGATCTTACATGAGATCAAAAATAACTTTGTTAATTTCCTGCTCTGAACTTCCGTTTTACATATGCTTTTGTAAATGAAATCTACTTCTTTCTTTGTTTCTTTGTCAGGGATGATATTGCTTTGCTTAGTTTTCTGATGTCTTAAAGCTACATTGTAAAATCACACGAAGAAATAACTAATATCTGAACGTCATTTTGACAAACAGTCTAATAATTATTTTCTTCTTTAGTTTCCATGTCTACACACTTTTATTATGAATGTTCTGTAAACACTTTCACACAAGAGAATACTTCCATTGTATTGCAGAATTTAATGATGATATCTGTATAAAACACTGAGAATTGGAGGTACCCAGGATTTCCAGTTCTTCCTCCATTGTTGTCGTATTGCTTTATAAATCACTTCCATAACCCATATGAAAAGAGAACAATGTCAATGTGTCTGATGACAAAGGAGTTGAATTGATATTAGAACTCCTGCCTATTTCTACCTAATTCACATTTTACAGCATGAACTCAACCTGCTTATTATTTTTGAATTACATTAATAATTTGTGAAAGAAGGTCTAACAAGACAAGCTCTGAGAGCTTTGAAAGAGTAAGGTTTAAGACAGAATATCCAATAGGTATCTCAGCATTTCCTACTTAACTATATGAGAACACCTGGAGCTGTATTCAATAAAAGAAATTACATCAGTCTTCTGTGCATTTGTCTTCTGTGCCAAGGGGCACAAGAAACCTTCTGAAATATACATTATGAAGTTGATTATGATTTTGGTCTTCCTTAAGAAGGCCAAAGCTGTTGGATAGACATCAGTAAATAAAAGAAAAAATTGTGCAAATTTCTTTGAGTTTTCTCTGCTTCAATCTCTTTGGGATACCTCACTGGAAGTCAATCAGGTCTGCATGCAGAGCTTTCAACTGAATATTTCTTTGTGTTACATAATTTTTTAATAAATAATGATAGCCATTGAACATTACCTTTATAAGCTGTGACTTAATAGAAAATCTGAATGTTTAAAAACTTGTCATTTAAAATCATGATAAAACTTGAACATGACAGATCATGAACTTGACCAGAGTTCTGTGGTGGGTGGACACAACATGACCACCAGGGAGCTCTATCTCTCCCCTCCCCAAATTGCATAGGGGAAAGAAAAAAAGATGGAAAATTACTCATAGGTTGAGATAAGGATATTTACTGAAGCACAGTGTTCCTTATGCCACAGTGGCCTCAATAAAATAGTGAAAATTGATGAACAGTGCTTGTCCAGCAAGGTTTGATCTCCACAGAGGAATAACATTAAACTAACATTGTACATTTTTGAAAGGCAAGAACAGAAATAGAAAATGCCAGAATATTCCTTAAAATACAAATAGTTCTCTACCTCTCACCTAATCCCGTCATCTACTATGAAGTGAGGACATTAAATGAACTTTCTGCACTGTTGAAAGGCAAGAATGGAAACAGAAATTCTAGAATGCTCCTTCAGATCTCCTACAAGTTCCTGGCCTTCATGCCACACCCACATAACAGTTCCTACTGGAGTAATTCAATGCATAATTTTTTTTCTCCCAAAAATAGTTTTTCATTCTGCTCTGAAAGTAGATCCTTTGGGGGATAGCCACCACTTCAACCTTGAATTATAAAAAGAAAGGAAAATTTCTACATTTAGCCTAATTAAGTATATTTTCAGAGCACTAAATAACTTCAAAGGTTATGTTTAGGACACAGAGGCACTGTGTATGTAATGATTCTAAGGGCATAGGACAGAAGAGTCATCACCTCTGCCTTGGACACAAAGGCTTTACTTGTAGTTCAGGAAGTCCTTGACACAAAGCCATTGCAGACTAGAAAGTAATCCCAGACCAAGAACCCCTGTATGGGTTTCTCAGCTCCTGTTTGCCTAAATTGTATTTGACTTGATTTAACTAGTCTGGCTAAACATTTCAGTCCTTCTTGTAGGACCAGAAAAGGACCACATTACCACATTTCTTGGCTAATTCCTGCCATAGGAATTGGTTTCAAGTATATGCTAGATATGTTTAATTTGCACTTGTACAGGTAGTCTAAGTGTCCTGGATCTATACAAATCAACTGTTCACAGACCTTCTTCTCTGTTTGTTTGTTGTTTGGTTTTTTTTAATTTAAATTTTAATAGCTGTTGGATACCTACATTGCATCCTGTAGAATAAAGAGCAATTTAAAGGATGCTACAGAGCACTGTTTGATGCTTTCTTCCTTCATTTTGCTTTCTTCTTTTGTATTCAAGCTTTCAATGTCTGGCTAATGAACAAGACTTTTCCAAAGGCGTTGGTACCAAAGACTTGAATTCCAGTCTTTGGAGTCTACAGAAAGTCTAAGTACTTTCCTCTCCTTCCCTTCCATTCTGTAGAGTCTTCTCTGTTTCCCTGAAGATACAGGTATGGTGCAATCAGCTTTTCTCCCACATGATTTCAGTGTGCTTTGCTTGTGGTTAGAATTTGCATATGAGTGAACAAAATAAGAAAACTTGGCAGTGATAGGATAGGCACATATTCAAACTTCAGATCTTCAGTTAGGTTTTTGAACTTGCAGATGCCTTAAGTTACTTATGAAAATAGGTTCCAATTGGGACTTGGGATGTGTCCCATGACACAAGTGACCGTATGGATAATTAATGCACAATGTGGCAATGACACTTTTGGGAAATTGTTTGCAAAACACCTGTTTGTTGACAGACAGTGTTGATTGAAATGCTTAGTGTGTTCACTTAAAATCATCTTGCAGTGGAGCTTCAAGAATAGGTAAAGAATAAGCAGGAGTGCCAGGTGATCTATAGCTATGGCATTGGCAGATATGGTAAAATGCTCAGTTGCACAGCCACTCATCCAGGCCATGGCTGAATTCAACTTTTCATACCCCTAAAGAGAAGAAAAGAGCCAAAAAAGGGAGGGCTTTGTAGCCTTGGCCATCATTTCTTCTCTGATACCATGGCTTCGGGAGTTATTTTCACAGTTGTTTTGAAATATGCTCTTTCTAAAATTATCTGGCCCTCAGAAGTTCCTTTCTGATAAAAATAGATGGCAACGATTGTCAGTGGGCAAGTTCTGACTTTTATCACCATCTGTTAAATTAAAACAAAAACAAAAAGGAGCCCTGCAGAGAAGCTTTTTTGTTTGGAGATTCAAGACCAGTTTTCTCACCAGCCTTGGAGCCTGCTGTGCTGCTCTAATAGTACAAGGAAACCATGGAGCTAGTGAATCCAGCTGGCAAAGGATTTTTCAATCTAAGGAAATTTCTTACTGGCTGTCAGCCAGTGTACACAGAGCAGAAGGCAGCACTGGACAGAGAATGGTAGAGTCACAAAGGGTTTTGGTATCCTGTGGCATTTCCGATTTGTAGTGCAAGACGGTCTGAAATGCTCTGCCAAAGAAAAGAGTGCCCTGGATCTAAGGCAGCCCATCAGGATTGCTGGAGGGGAGCTGGGCCAAGTGCTTGATGATGTTTGGTTGGAACACCATCAAGATTGCACCATTTCATTTCAAGTTTGATAAATCAACTTGATAAGTCTACTGAGAGCAAGTTATGCTTGACTGTTGCCAAATACACTAAATGTAGAACTTCCTCTTCCTTCAGCAGAGTGGGAGTGGGGAGTCACATTGTAATTTGGTCTTTTGAGCAGAGTTATCTTTTACACAGAGTTATTAGGAAAGTTCCTGTGAAACCTTAGTTGAAATGCTCACTGTCCATTGACAGTGTCTTACTAATAGGTCTATTTAAGGTTAAGACTTTCCATGAGGTATTACCTTTGCCTCAGTCAAGACCTTCTCCTTTTTATCCATCAACTTGGACGCATATATGGAATTCATTAGTTTCACAACCTCGTCCACAATCTGTCCTCAAGGGAAATGTCTCCACTTCAGAGAAGACAGATTCAGCAGCAGATGGTTAAGTGTTATTGCCATCCAGCAAAATCACAGCCATGCAACCCCCCTGAGAACTGACAGCTGAACCAAGGATCTTTCCTGGGATACAGCTGACCTCTCTATTGACATGTCTGTAGCAGTAACCAGCTTTCCTGTGTATTCATATAATCCCTAGCTTGATCAGATCCTGATCCTGCCTGGAAAATCTCTAATCCCATTAGTAATATGTTGTGGGAGTAATTTGAAATTATATGGATTCAATTAAGGGGGGAAATAGTATAGACTTCTGACTCCACATATCTACCCACATGTTCTAGGTAGAAAATTAACGAGTGTTAGTTTCTCCCACAAAAATTTAGTATCAATCAAATCAAAATTTTCTCTATGGCTCCTTACTGTTCATCAGTAAGAAAATGTGCTGGTATTACACTACTACTTGAGGATAAAACATATTGCAAATGGTCATCACTTTAGTATAATTCACAATAATGATGTTTCCTTGGTAAAGAAGATCTGCATTTAAATATGTGTGAGTTTGTGCCTCCTAAGGATATATTTAAGTCTGAGCAGTCTCAAACAACTGAAGTAGTTATCAAACTGACTACATGACCATTTTTCTTAAAGATTAAAATGTCA